TGTATCAGTTCTCACATCCCGACCACCAAACCCATTTACTCTGCTTCTTTGCTTTCTCCTCTCTCATTACAGAATCTACAGGGGGAACAATGCAGATCGAGGCATTGCCCCCACCTGGAGTCTCACTCACCTCACCATGATCTATTCTCTCCGTTCGACCCGCCTTGACATGAGCTTATTCCATCTCCTGCTTTCCTAACACGTCTTTCCAATTAATTAGTCTGCATACGTAAGTGGTGTGGTGCTCAAAAAAAGGCATCTGAATCTTGGACACTCTGGACTAACATATTGTGTAATTGAATCACCACATGCTTTAATTAGACACTTTTACAGAACATTTCACAGATTAGTGTGGATTTGGGTGCAGGTCCCGACTGGATCAAAGCCTCGTTATTAAGCAGCGACTGCCTTGTTTGCTAATCGAGGATTTTGGAACCAGAGGTTCTTAACGTAGGAATGTTTCATTGAGTAACAATTGTGTAAGACAGGCTATTTGAGATTTAGTAATTCAAGCCTGTGGGACTCACTGGACCTTGTTGCTGCAGTCTGATGCTAATTTAATGCTCCCTGGGGAAAATGTTGCAGGGGACACACACATTCACATACATCCTCGAGCGGTTTACAACTCAAGTACAGCAGCATACCAAGCAGCAGATTTTTATAAAAACAGGCAAACAACCTGTTTTAGATTTCTATAAATAAATATATCCAGGAGAAAATCAGCTTAAGACAGGCTGTTCTAGGTCTGATCTCTAACCAGAAAACAACTGGTTTTCAAAGACAAATATTATTACATATAATAATACATATTGTATTATTGTCCAACTTTAAATATGTGGGTTTTTTCCATTATGAGAAAAATCATTAAGGCTGTGACGTCGGCGTCAAAAGCTGCATGAAAAACAAATTAAGAAAATTAGAAAGGGCTGCAAATGTCCTAAAACATCCATCACAATTTTCAATAGTCCAAGTTGATGTCTTCAAACAGCTCACTTTGTCTGATCAGCAGTCAAAATCATAAAAATGATCAATTTACAATCACATGACACAAAGATAATCTACAAGCTGCAACCACAAAATGTTTGGTATCTGAAATGATTAATTGACCCTTTGCTAAGCCAGGCTTTAAATACTCCGCTGACCAATCACAGTGCAGTATAGGACTCGCTCTAACCGAGGTCCGCCCCTTTCATGGCTGCGCTCCATTGACTCTAATGCAAAAGGCGTTGTTTTCTAGCTTTTTTTGCTGTATTTCTTTAAGATATGGTCAAACGCTGTTCCTGGGGAACTTGTAATAGTTACAGTTGCTTCCCAGAGAGGTTGAAAGGAGAAGTACGATTTATTCTCTTTCCAAAACCTAAAATAAATCCAATAAATGTCAGCTGTGTATCGTTAGTTAGCTAACTTCCTACTGAATGTAGCATAATAAGGCCCCACTGTTCTGCTTTTTAAGGATCTATATAATAGAGATTAGAGACCTTCCCAGCTGTACAGGAACAGCATTGATCCTTAATATTGTTGTCCTCTTTCTCAATAGTCAGGTAATACGTTTGTTCACTTTTACTCTACCGTCTTTATTTTTTCACGTCTGTTTGACAGCCTGATTAAAACCTTGAAATGCACAATACAAAACTGTCTGCTTATTTCTGAGATCGCTTTTTCCAAAAATTAGACAATATTTCTACAGGGAGTGAAGTAATAGACAGTGGCAGCGCCGTGATAAGGTCAGGTCTGACAGTTTGTTGACTTAGCAACAGTAACTAAGGGGGGTGTGGCTTAGTGAAGGGTAAATTGAGCCGTTATTTGCCAATTACTCAACTAATTGTTTCAACTTTCCCCTTAGTATCTACTGACAGCTCCAACTTAAGAATTCATGTTGTGTGGCCAAACTTTGTGAAAATCCACTTTATTTCAAATTCTAGCACGTTTCTAAAAATCCCATCTTTTTGTTGACATTTTTGGGGCAATGTGCATAAAAAAGCTGCTGATATATTTCAAACATTTCCATTTGATGTAGTGCTGCAGCCATAAAACTGGTGTCCCTCTTAAATGTCTTATATTAAACATCAAGCTTCACTTAAATGTTAAAGGAAGAAGATAAATATTGTGATGCCACAGAGTCCAGGTGGAAAAGTTGATTTTAATCCACATTTAGAGACGTTTATGGAGATAATTTTAAACTTGAAGAGGTTAAACTTGAAGAGGTTAACATTTGCTTTAACTTTTTTCCTTTGCAGTCTTTCTTTCCAGCTTTGCATGATGTGCGTTAGGGCTGTAATAACATCGATTAATCTGCTGATGATTTTCTTTAATCATTAGATTTAAAAAATGTTTCCCAGAATCCCAGTCAGACCAACAAAAAGGTAAATATACTTTCAGTTTACTATCACTTAAGACATAAAATCCAGAGTAACTGATCAAAATAATCAATTATCTGTTGATTGACTCTTTATTTTGAATCAACTAATCATTTCATCTTTAACGTGTTTCATTGCATTTATTTTAACCCCAAATAGATGTTAAACTGAGCTTTTGCTCCACTGCAACATTGAAAAAGTCACCTGCTCGTTTTGTCAACAGACAACAACCTTAATAAATTTGATTTGGTCTGAACAGCTTGCAAAGCAACATGAGACACTGAGTGTCTAGCTGAGACACCGGAGTAATGAAATCATGTTTTGGCAACTGGCCCTTTAACATTATGTCAGGGTTTAAAATTTATTTCTCTCTGTAGCTGCGTTCAGCCAGAAGCATATCACAGGTAAATTCACTATAAGGGCAAACCACATATGTAAAACAAATGTTTCTATTGAGGTCAATGGGAAAATGTCATTGTGACAGCCCTGTGAATATGGTGGGATCTGGGGAGTAGCTCATTATCAGTTATGACTTACACTTGGGTAGGTGTGACTGCTAAGTCTCAGTCACACTTCCTCCTCTCTAATTTATTTGATTCTGTGTCAAATTCACACATCTGCACACTACACACATTAATGATGAACTGACTTCACACTTAATTTAGTTTTCTTAGATGTATTTTACTTTAAAGAATGTTTGGTCTCCACATGTTGTCTCTCTTTGGAGCCGGGTCGTGACAAATCATCCTTGGTGATAAAAATGTTTCTGACTTCAGAAGAAAATTGCTGGACTTCAATGAAGGACATCTGAGTGTGTCCTCCTTTCATTTTCCAGTATATATATATTTAAAAAAAACAGAACTCAGAGGAGTCGAGGATGGAGCCTGGTTCAGAGATAAGAAAGCAATGGTGCTCTTTGTGCACACAGCGAGTTTAAAAGCATCACCGGGAGTTGAAGGTAGCCGCCAGAATAAAAGCCTTTTATACAACATAAAAGCATGCATCTTCTGCTTTGGCTTAGGTAAGATTATGACGTACAGCCAGACAGGGAGAGGTAGTTTCAGGTGAGTTGCTCTGGATAACAGTGCAAGGTATAAGGCATGAACAGCAAATGAGTACCTCTCTCATTTACTTTAACATTTGCTGTCTCATTTTAGCGAGGCACTTTACCCCCAGCTGCTCCGGTGGCCGCCAGCCAGCCGAAACCACACGGAGCATGTTGCTGCTACAAAAGTTCAGGCACGTTTCATCAACTCCGCCTGGATAAACAGTATCTGGAATACGCACTTTGCTTTTTGAATAATGTCGTCTGACAAGGGAAATATCTCGGGACTATTTTGCCTCCCTCAGGGAACTGGCGCTGTCGGGAGAAGAAAAACACATCGAGGCCGGCATGCATTTGCTTGACAGAGTTGTTTTCCCTCAAACTGTAGATGTTAAGTTTTATTTCAATGCTTCCCTTTATAGGATTTTCTTCTCCAGCTTCCTCCCCTTCATTTTTCATGCGATGGCTGTTCTCACTGTGAGCCCACCTCAGGCTGCAAGACAAGTTGTTTACCATTCATGTGACTGAGCGTAAGGACTCAAATCCTTCCAGTTTACACTCAAGATTGTGTCACACTCTCTGACTGTTGCACAGGCTGACGTTGAAAGATATCATGTTGAGGGCCGACGTAGCAAAGAGGCACAAATCAATCAAACAGCGAGTGACTGACTGTTTTTGAAATGAGATTTATGTTCTTTTTAGATTCAACAAAGCTTAGCTAACGATGCAGCAACCATCTGAGGGACACTGACAAAAAGCCTTTTCTTGCTCCGTTTGCAATGTACATCATTTGAGAATAAAAGCCGCAGTGTTGCGGTTATGCCATACAATTTTCTTAAACATTTATTTGTGCAGTAAATGCTTTTGCTGACTTGGGAGACATGGAAGAATGGAATTGTAAGGCATTATCTACCGTATTTCTCTGTTCAAGGGCAATTCAGTGATTGTGAACTTGCCCACTCTATCCCAATACACAAAGAAAATATCACTTTTTATCAGCACCTCTGGCAGTGAATAGGGTCTCTGAAACCTGTGAGTTGTCAAACAATTTCAAAAATGTAATATATCATCTTTTTCCTGCTTCTCATATGTTAGAATTTACTGCTTACTGCTCTGTATTATCATCGAATTGACTATATTTGGATCTTGGACAGTTAGTCAGCCAAACAAGCAGTATCGCTTTAGGCTCGGTGAACATGCCATAGGCTTCGTCACTGTTTAGGGGGATTTATAGATAAATGGCTAGCCCACATTTGGACTCATACAATGGGCAGCAACCCATTCTTTGTCAATGGGGCACTGACAGATTTTCTTTCCCCCTAATAACAACCTAAAAAGGTCAACTGTGTCGGAAAAAAGGGATGTAGCTTGTCCAAGATTCATACCATTAAAAAATCCAACAGGACTGGTTTATTTCCAAAGGAAACACAATACGGGACAGACTACAGAGACAATTAAGTCAACTTCATGTGAACTTTTAGGCTTCTACCAGGTCATTCTGAAATGTTATCATTGTGACCAGTGTGTCTATCCTTTTTATGGCCTGTTTTCATAAAAGTAGGAGGTCATAAAAACTCTGATGTGGTGAAATGTCTTACCATCATGAGTTCCCTCTGGAAGGACTTCCTCTCCTTGTTCTCCACATTTGTACACTCCTCTTTGAGTTTCTCAAGAACCGACGCCACCTTCTCCGGCTCATTGTCCACCTCGGTCCGGCAAAAATAATTCAGTGGCAAATTCCCGTACCCCAGGGCATCTGCAAACGCCCTCCAGTTGCCAACATTTTCCATTAAAACGGTCCTCACAGTTGCGTAGATGTATGTGAGAAATTTACATGGCTTCAGGATCTGCTCCAGCAGCATGGTTGTTGTCAGGTCCGGGCCGCACCAATAAATGGGCTTGACCTTCCCCAGAACTAAAACGTTCTTGGCATGGACAAGGCCTATCTTCCCTTGATAGTATCCAATGTACCACTCTTTGGTCCGCAGTTGCCCTCGTAGTTTGATTTTCTCCTCGCTGAGCAAAGCAATAACATCCCCCTTCTTGTACTCCAACAGATAAGTGCTCTTGTGCTGCCTAATCACTGTTTTGATCAACTTGCCAAATTTAAGGTTGGTAATGCACCGGTCCTGAAACTTTGGGTATTTGGAAGTGACAGCCAGCGGCGAGAGGACAATCTTATCCACCTCTTTCTTTTTCAGAAACCTCCTCTGGCCCGTTATCCTCGCTACGGTCTTTGGCGGTGGCTGTGGAGTTTGGACGCAGAACTGGGTGAGGATACAGTCGAGGGCGTCCTTGACTTGGACCCTGAGAGTGAAGTCTGAGATGCTGTTAGGGTTGTGTGACGTTATCATGTACAGTAGCCTGCTGACTTTCCCCAGTTTGACCTGAAATCCCGAATCATCCCTGCACCCTCGCTCGCCTTCACCTGGTAGTTGGACATGTTGGAGTACAATCCCACCTGGAGGTCTTGAGGGAACCCCAGCATGAACTGATGCCTCCCCCAAAGCTGGAAGGCCACTGGAGGGGTGGAGCTAGCCTGCCGACCCACCTCACTTACCAACAAGGTTTTGGGGGCGCAATCATGTCCAAACATGGCCACAACTGTTTTGAAGGAAGGGTGGATGTGCTTGGGTCCGTAGACTCCCAGAGTTACTTTCCTCTGCACGTGGTCCCAAACAGTCGTGTTGTGGCTGATGTGCTGTGACTGAATCACAGCAGCCACATACATACAAGGCTCTAGACTATCCAACTGCACCTGGATTGTATCCTTGTAAATGTAAGCATTAGGGATGGGCGTGTAAGGCCCTTCTTTGCAGTCGCTTCGAACGCAGAGCACCTCTGCAGTGTGACAACTCTCCCTCTTGATCGTTACCGATACCTTCATCTCCAGTGTGATGAAAGACTTAGTCTCCATGTTGCTGAGCTTAATCTCCACCACGGGGCTGACGGTGGAGCAGTGGTCATTGTTGAGCTCCAGAGGAGGGTCTAGTAAGGCTTTCATGGAGATCTGCTGGTGGTCTCCTTGGCTGACGTGGCCTTCGGGGATGAGTGCGCTGATGAGAGTGTCTGGGAGCTGAACAACTCCTCCATTACTGTCCAACATGCACACGATGTTGGTCTCCACCGGCTGCGTCTGGCCCCAACCAGGACTCTGGCCTAGGGAGTCAAGGTCATGACAAGACCTGGCTAACTTTCTATGGTTCAACCAAGCAGTCCTGAAGTCCTCCCTGCTCTGAAACTGCTCCGGTGAAGGAGCCTTAAGGCCTGTGAAGAATCCCGAAGAGGGCAAGATTGGATTTGATTGCGCCTGCAGGACTGACAGTTCTGAGAGACTGTGGGAACGTTTACTCCTGAAAAACGGGTTATCCCTTTGAGGGTAAGGTACAACTTCTTGGTTTGGGCTGGTGGGGTTGGTATTGTTAATGTGGCAGCTGCTGAACCCATTGGTCATGATTGTACTAGTGTTATAGTTGGAGCAAGATGATGGAGATGCCAGTGCATCAAACAGAATAAGGTCTGCTGAGTTCCTCACACCTATATCTTTGCAGTTCTGATCTAACGGACAGATAAAGGGGTTCACAGAGAAGGGACTGTTGTTGTAAGTTGGGGAACGCTTAATGGTCATCCCTGTCCACTCCCCCATGCCTGCAAACTCCTTTGACCCATCCTCGTACCCTTCCCCGAGACTGTCAATCATCCCACTGTCGCTAAGTGAAGAGTTCCTGAAGTTGACCGGCTGGACGTAGGCAGCCGGGATGTAGCCCATTTCCATGTTGTTGTGGGCATACCACCACTCTCCACCTGACGTGTCCAGCACATAGAGGCGATCACCTTTGGAGAATTTCAGCGTGGTGAAGCTGCTGGGGCAGTAATCCTTTATGGCAACCACTTCCTGCGCAACTCCATAGGAGGCTGGAGTGTTCAGCCTTAAGGCACTGGGAGAAGGCACTGAAAAGGAAAAAGATATTGGACCAAATCACAATTTCCCCTTGTTACAGGGTCTTTTCTTTGTCTTGATTGCACATTGCACTCATTTGCTGATTGCAGACATAAAGGACCAGTTGCACTAATGAGGTGACGGTACGGCAGTTTAGACATAAAGGTTTGTGTGGTTAATATGGTTCAATAGTTAATATTAGTAATCAGATATCTTAATGCCAGCAAACATAAACGCAGCCAAACAACAGAAAACCTTATTTTGAAACATTCTGAATGCAACTACAAATTTTCAGATCAACAAGTAAATGTATGAGCAGATTTACTGCATAATCTACGGCATAATGTGCTATTTTTAGTTCACCTCATTAGCGTATATGGAGCATGTAAACAAAGCTGTAATGAAATGCAACCAGTGAGGTGGAAGAGCCACGGAAAGAATGATAATGTTTTCAAAAACCTGACTGAATAATTTAGTTTCAAAAGATGAAAAGCACAAATTTAAAACATCATTTAAATGCTACAGATATTTAGTGAACTTTTATTAATCAGTTCTCCAAAGTAATCATTACTGATATACATGTGTCAGAACACATCCGTTTTTCTTCCCATTGTAACAGCAATTTCATAAATCTGGTGTGGCTAAAGTGAAACACACAGACCTTTGACATCATTGAGACTGGCTCCGGTGACTCCTTCACTGAGGTCGATGAGCGTCCCTTCCGACTTACAGCGAGGGAGGATGTGGTTGTTGTTTGTCACTCTGATAATTCGATGGGCAGCCATGGCCGGTACTTATCGTAGCATTCGCTCATTGGCAGCTTTTCATCTTGGACGGGAAACAAACAAAGGATGTCAGGGTGGTAGCGAGCAACCAGTTTTAAACACATTCAGGCGTTTAGCTGATGCTCACATCCAGAAAGACTTCCCAAGGCAACGCCGGAGTAGGAAGCTTAATTTTCTAGATCACTAACACAGTTAAAGGCTATAAAGGTCAAAGCCGCTGCAGCAGAAAATAAGGTTGAAAAATATCACTGCATTTTTGAAAAAACTCAGTATGAAGAATGATGCTGGGGAAAGAACAGGGAGGGTTATTCTAAATCAGTGCAAAGACTATGAGCAGTGAACTGTGAGAGAAAGATAGAGAGATTTGATTTAGTAGAGAGAGTGATCGAAAAGCAAAAAAGATATGAAACCAAAATAGATTAAAGTTCTGAGTGAAAGTTACAGCGAAGAAGGTCAGAAACATAATGTAAAGCATGAGGTGGAAAACAAACCTCTCAATAAATAACATTTTGACACCTCTGTCCACACTTTTTTACCTTTTCACCTCACAACCAAGCATCTCTCCCTCCTCCAGCTGTACATGCTGCACTGCTCTGTGTATGTTTGAGTATTTACATCTCTAATTGTGTCGACCAAGTAACCAATTTCCTTGTCAGAAATTAGCTGTGATTTAATTTGTGTATGAAAACACACAGTCAGCGGAGGACTGTAATCTGATTAAGAGAGAGAGCAAGAAATTGTTTTGCAGCAAAACGCTGTTCCCTTCCATGACAAGAGACTATTATTCCTGCAGCGGACGCATTTGCATTTGCACACTAATGATGCCATTTTAATCTGATTAAAGCAACACAGACTTTAGAAGCAGCCACGTAAAAGCCTTTCACTGATTATCTTCATTAGAGCTTTAATGTTTTGAGCTAAATTTTAATAAAATGTAGCACTGCAACAACTCTTCACTATTTTCACTAATAACAAATGAGTTATTGTCAGAGAAAACAAGTATTCACCATATTCACACAGCGGCTACGCTCAGGGTGGGAAGCTTGAGCATGTAAAGCCTGTGCAAAGCTGGCAAGATTGAGAGAAGTAGTAATATTAGTAGTAGTTGTTGTTGTTGTAAAGGCTGCAGTAGTTGCAGTAGTATAAGTAGATGTAGTCGCAGTAGGAGAAATAGTTGTAAAGGCTGTAGTAGAAGCAGCATTGGTAGTAGTAGTAGTATAGGCTGCAACAATAGTAGGAGTATATGCTTTAATAGTAGTATAGCAGAAGTAGTAGTAGAAGAAGCAATAGTTGTAAAGGCTGCAGTAGTAGTAGGAGTATATGCTGTAATAGTAGTATAGTAGTAGTAATAGTAATAGTAGTAATAGTGGTAGAAACAATTGCTGTAAAGGCTGCAATAGGCTGTAGTGTTAGTAGCAGTAGTTCAGGCTGCAACAGTAGTAGGAGTATATGCTGTAATAGTAGTATAGCAGAAGTAGTAGCTGTAGGAATAGAAGAGGCTGCAGAAATTGTAGTATTGTAGTAGTAGTATAAGCTGCAGCAGTAGTAGAAGTATATGCTGTTATAGTAGTAGTAGAAGGAGCAATAGTTGTAAAGGCTGCAGTAGTAGTTTAGGCTGTAGTATTAGTAGCAGTAGTATAGGCTGCAGCAGTAGTAGGAGTATATGCTGTAACAGTAGTATAGCAGAAGTAGTAGTTGTAGGAGTAGTATAGCAGCTGAAGTAGTAGTCTATGCTATAGTAGTAGTAGCAGTAGTAGCAGTAGTAGCAGTTGAAGCAATAGTTGTAAAGGCTGCCGTAGATGCAGTTCTGGTATTAGTGTATCATGTTTTTCAGAGAAAACGTCACACTGGTTCATCTAAAGGACCCCTGCCACCATTTCCCATTCAGTCTGAACAATAAGATAGAAACCAAGTTTATTTGCTTTTTGTGTTTTGGTTGTTGTGGCTGAACCAGTTTAGTCTTTGTTTAGCCCTCTGCAGATTTAGTTTGCTATTCTTTAAATGAAGTAGGACAGAGTTGAGCACATATTATTATATTAATACATTTGTCTTCTCAAAAGTGAAAAATGAGGCTTGATTCAGAGCAGCTCCTCTCTGGAGGTAGAGTGAAACTGCAGCAGAGCTGCACTCTGGGATGCAGAGCATGCAGTTAAGGAGAGCGTGGCTTGTTTAAAGACTACATCTGTTCACCTGGGAGCTCGTGCTGAAAGCAAGTCAAACTCGTCTGAGGTGACGTTTCCTTTTCCTGCACCCTCTCTGCTCGTCAGGGAACATGTCACCCATCGATAAAAAACCCTCCTCCCGCTCGAAAGTAAGCACTCAGCGGGCAGCCGGAGCGAGGCTGTGATCAATAACAAGCCCGCAGACAAAGAAACTGTCACCGGCTTTGATATAACACCAAGGCAATTCCCGCTGAATGCAGCAGGAGGTGAGGGCGGCTCTGACAGAGGAGAAAAAAGAAAACAAGGGGCCGGATGCCTCAAAACGAGCCCTGCAGATCCACGCTGAACCTCCTGCAAGCTGAAAACACTGACAGAAGGAGACTGTTACAACCTTTTCTGACAAAATAAAACTTTTACAATAAAGATTCTTTGTATTTTACAGCTAATGAATAACAACACAAAGTATATGAGGCAATAAACTCCATTTAACTTTTGTTTTACTTCACGTTTGCAGAACATTTTCAATTAGAGGGAGAGGAAACCCTAAAAGAGATCTCAGCAAACTGCCAAAAGGCTTGGCTTCCTCCAAATTGGAAACAAGGATTTTGTTTTTTTCTTCCCACTGGTGCATCAATATCTGAGTCGGTGAAATGCTCTGCGTTATTAACTTATTTCAGTCAGGCTGACAGAGTCGAGGAGCGGAGAGGAAAGTTTAATTAGCCGAGCGTCGGCATGTCCTAATCCCTGGATGAATGTTGCTATAATAACCATTTCCAGCAGCCATATGCTCGCGGAGAGTTTATCGTTTTTTCATCACAGCTGTTTAAACTGAGCAGATTACAGAACGGACAGTGAGACACAGCAGCACAGACCTGTTCCTGTTATCATGTCGAACCTTAAACTTCACCACTGCTATGTAATATTCAAATTCAATCTGCTGTTGAATTCCCTGTGTAAGCATTCAAACAGGCCGTAATCCCAGATCAAAGAAGAAGGCTGACGGGCTAAAAGTCTCTTAAATCAAGATCAAACAAACTAAGAGTCGGAGTCATGATTCCTCACTATCAGTTTAATAAAATGAGATGAAAACAGCTTTAAAACCTTGTTAGCTGATTCTACAAGTCTTAAATGTATCTGCAGACAAATTCTCCTCTGGTTTAAATATTAAAATCCTTCTGCTGCTGCACACCGGTGTTGATAAAACATTCAAGATCGGATTCCTTTATTTATGGCGTAATGTGTTTCTTCAGTGTCTTCTGTTTATTGAGGTCTGCATGGACTCTTTCTCTTCAGTCTATCAAGACAAAATAAACTAGTCAGTGCAACAAGCCGATAACAGAAGGGTTTAGTCCTCTTTAAAGGGTAAAAATCATCAAAACTCAGCTTCTTTTGACTTTAAACTCCATAAAAGGTCACATCTTTCATCTATTTTGTAGGAAACTGAGCACAGGCTGAATTCAGTCCAAACCTCAGGGACAGAAACACATTTGGTCGACTTGAGTCAGGTGCCTAACTGGCCGCTCTGTTGTGGCCTTCGGCGATGCAGCTCTGCTCCCAGCATGCATTTGGGGACGTGTGTTTACACCTGCAATGAAGCAGGTGAACCAGCAGAAGAAAAGAACAGGAGCTCAGGGAAAAACTGTCCTTGGAAATTGTTAAACGCCCGTGAAATTAAAAAGGATGGGCGGGTAAAAGCTCTCCTATATAGAGTAGTTTCACCTTTTTTCAGTTGCGTTCATTTAATCATACATGGGTTTACTGATTGTCCTCTGTGGGCCACTGTAGATGTCTGGGAGTGAATTCTATTATTATTACTATTGAGTAGAAATGTCCTCTAAATGAAAGTTTTGTCTCACCCTGCAGTAAAGTGTCAACCAGATTTCTTACATTACATCCAAAACAAAAAAAAAAGGGACCCCCCACTGTCAGCTGAGAGAAATGTGATAAAACAGCACGCTCTTTGTTTCTTTGTAAGATGAATTTGAAGGCATCCATGCCCATTTTAAAAATAAGAAATAAGAAGGAATATTAAAGTCCCCTTTGAAGTTTTTGAGCAGTTTTTTTTTAACCAGTGGTTTTTTCTCGTGCACGCCCACAGTCTGGCATATGGTTTCACATTGTTCCACTGATCTACTGGTAAAAAATGGTGTTTCAAAATGTTCAATGATCAGTTTGCAAAGGTGTTGTGAGGAAAGAAATGCATTCAACACATTTTTAGACCTCGAGAATCCACACAACGTGAAGTGGTAAGAAACCATGAAGGTAAACGGTCATGGCCGCTTTAGAAGAATTTTGAGGTGGGATGCAAAGAGGGATCATTCAAAAGTGTTTAATTTGAGTTAGATAGAGAAGGGGAGTCAGAGTGAACAGGAATGGAAGGAGAGTGGAGCTGGAATATCTTTCTTTATTTAATTGGTTGCAGTTTAAGGTCATAAACCTACCCAATAACTATTTTTAAAAGCTTTAATAAGTTAATTAATGACACAGCAAAAGAAGAAAGTTCCGTCTGAAAGGTAATGTTATAGCTGTGAATTGTTGAATTTAATTCATAGGGGTAAAGATCTTGCATCTGCAAATGCCTCTGAGTTCTTAAGCATTAGCATGTATACAGGACAGACACATCAAGATTTAACTCACTGTATGACAGCAACAGGTTGCGTTCAACATTTGCAACCAGAAATCACAGAGTTCTAAAGGAAATCCCCTCAGTTTGAACTCTGCATGCTAAAGTAAACAAGTAAATGCTGACGGTAAAGTGGTCTGACAGCTAAGAGCTAATAATTTGATGAAATGTGAAAAATGAATGGTGAGTTTTCCCTTTGAAGCTGACTCTTTGCCCTCCAACAAATATAATATGATGTCCTGAAAGTGCTGTGATTAAGGGCTTGAAGAGCCGTGGGGCAAAAGGTAGTAGACCTTTTTGGGAATTTCAAGTTTCATTTTCTCGCACTGTACATGAATGTAAGTGGCATTTAGCAATAATTGGCTAAAAAAAACGGGCTCATTCGGCCCCGTCTTCCATTGTGTCTTTTCTTTTTAAGCTCTCACACAGAGAAACGTCATATTCCCGCAGGCTGAGTGGGTGATTCCTCTCAGATGGTCTTTATTGCTGTCCTGCTGCAGCTTTGTGACGTGTTCAGGGTTTTATTTTTGTATCCTGCAGACCTGTAGATGTAAATAAATAAATAAATAAGCCTCTGCCTGGCATGTGGTCAATTACATTAGTCTGTGGTGCCGTCTGCCTTGACCGCAACCGTTCATCACCGGAGAACTTCATCCGTAAAATCCTACAATCGCTCCTCTCTCCCCTCAGGATGAATTTCCAGGTAAATGAAGCTGCAAAGTGCTGAGTTTTAGTGCCGCTGAAGGAGATTCTTCAAGCAATAACGCTTTAAGAAAAGAAGTTTGCGCTCAGGAAATGGAAAGTGGCATTTCGAACAGGTCAGCTTTAGGGCAGCAGATATATTAGTGCATTAAATTCAGGGAAAATGCAAAAGCTGCTAAATGTCACATTAGGCAGCATTTATAATTCCATGAAAAGGGTTTAGCACATTTTTAATTGATGCAATAATGTTGATTAATGAAGTGAGAACGCAAGTCAGCGTGGCGCTGTTAAATCATAATGGCTGTGTGCTAATGTGATGCAGTTGTATAACATTTCAAGCATTTAACATTATTAGCTAATGAGGATATATTACAGCATGAGTTGGACTTCAGCTTGACTGTCGTGCATTTTGAGTTTATTCTGCTCTATAGTTGAGACTTTAACTGAAGAACACAAACTGAAGGCTTCAGGGAGTTTAAGGGATTTTTCTTTGCGTTATTATCTTTTTCCAAACCATGTTAAAGTGTTTTGCTTGATTATCTGCCTTCGGTTGCAGTGTGTTATAAAAAAACTACTTCCAGACAATAAAGATAGAAAAGACCATCACAAACAGAGTTAAAGTAATATTTTTGCTTTTGTCAGGGAAATAATAGATGTCTGGTGAAAAGCATTGATTTTGGTGAAAATTAAAGACAAGAGTCCTTTTCTTAAGAGTCCTTGAAAGCATCATTGGGGCCAGTTATGAAACAGTCCCTGTGATGATCAAACCAGAATCCACACACACACACGGCAACTAAATTGCTATCTATTAACTATGATTAAGATCACATCACTACCCGACCTCCACGCCAACACGTTCTCATCTCAGGGTGTCAAATGAGACGCCTTTTTAATATGTGGTCTGTAAGCAGTTTGGTTGGGTATAGGCATGAAAAACATTGTGTTACATTGGAGTTACTTGAAATTCCGAGGCTTTGTCAGGCTTTCTCAAAGCGTTTGTATTTGACAGACTGCATCACTTCATGACGCGTGCAGCACACACTGACACAGACAACCACGAAACGACAACTGACAATGAAAAAACACTGACTGAAAATATCCAAGGGGATGGTGATTAGTTGGCGAGGAAGAGACAAGAAGTGAATAGAAACATGAGGGGAGGAAAATAACAGTAAAACAGGAAACAGAGACTAATGAATGACAAGGAAAACATCTAAATAACAGAGCAGGACAAAAAAAATCAGGCAATAACACTAAACAAACTGAAAACCACAACACAAGATGTCTTAAGGACATGCTACTTTCTGTATTAGCTCTGCATGTTAGCTTTGGATGTGCAGAAATCGCGCCCTGCAGAATATTCACATGACTGTACTCCTGAGGACGCTGGGCACTGGGTAACTTCTAGCTTTTAGCAGCAAGGTCTCAGTTACGAAGTGTAAAATCATTTAGTGTTTAAGCTAACAATGCTCAATGTTTCATGGTTTATCAGAAGATTTGCAAGATCTGCAAATCTTAAAGTTGAGTCATCAGAAAAATGTAGTATAGTAAGGTTTACAGCCTTTCCTTTTGAAATGTACTAGAAGTTTAAATACTCATAAAACAGACATATTGAGTACTGGTAGTCCTTGAATAATTGTGCTTTAGTTTCAAACCTCTGACTGAAGCTACTGTACAGGCTTCAAATATCACACAGTGAGCTCAGGATAATTACTATAATCAGTATGTTATATTAGTTTATGGGTATAACAACAAAATAAAGCTCAATACCGTGGAAGAAAAAGACAGTGAGGTGGAGCGTCTGTTTGTGCAAGTGTGTAAAAGACAGAGTGGTATGTAAGTGTGTTCACTGAGCAGCACTGGGAAGTAACTTTACTTGAGTATTTCCATGTTATGCTTCTTTATAGTTCTAGTCCACCACATATCAGAGGGGGAATTTTACTCCATTATATTTATCTGACAGCTGGAGCACAAATATTGCGGTAGCGGTTGAGGGTAGCGGACGCTAACAGACTCAACGAACTTATCCATAAGGCCAGTGACGTTGTTGGGGGGGGGGGGGCTGGACTCTCTGTCGGTGGTGTCAGAAAGGAGGATGCTGTCCAAACTACATGTCATCTTGGACAATGTCTCCCACCCACTCCATGACATGCTGCTCAAACACAGGATCACTTTCAGTGCAAGACTCATTCCCCAAAATGCACCACAGAGCGACACCGTCAGTCCTGCCTGTGGCCATCAAACTTTTTAACTCCTCCCTTTAAGTGTCGGGCACTTTAGTCAGTTATTAAACTAGACCTCATTATCTATTTTCTGTCCAATATTTAATAATTAATGTGCAATATTCTCTGCTGCTATTTACTCACTAGTCCTTTTTGGTTCACCATAATAATTCTTAATAATGTAAATATTGTACATACCCACACACCTTTATATTTGTCTTTATATTTTATATTTATACTACTATATTTATATACTCTTTATCTATCTCCCTTTGACAAGTGTGCAATTGTGACAAAAGAATTTCCCCTCGAGGATCAATAAAGTATTTCTGATTCTGACTGACACATGAGCATTTGATTATAAGTAAAGATAAGACTTTACTGAGAGCACATGATTAGTTGTTTAACTTTTGGTACTTTAAATACATTTTGATGTAAAACAAAGTATTTCTACACTGTGTGGTATTGCAAATTTTACTTAGAAGTAAAATAGCTGAATACTTCTTCTGTGTGCATGTGTTGAGCTGAGCCGCCATTAATTAGAAAATTGAGCGCACCTTCACACGGAGCTGGAAAACGATGACATGCTGGTTTTCAGGCTTAGCCTCGGGAGTGTGTGTGTGTGTGTGTGTGTGTGTGTGTGTGTGTGTACAAAATTAGTTGTTGAGTCAGGTTTTGTGTGAAGGGGAGGTGTTTAGTGTCACTTTCAAATCAGTCTGCGTGCATGTGTTTGCTAACAGAGGAAGAGAAGAAAAGGAAGAAAAAAGAATTAAGGAAGGAGGACGATGAAGATGAAGATCATGGAGAGGAAATGTGTGGGAAAAGAAGAGGAGGCAAATAAAGAGTAAATGGGAAGAGGGGATGAGAACCAAAATAATTGTTCGTAAAGAGTTTGGACGAAATGGGAGGAAGGATGGACGAGAAGGCAGTCAGGAGGAAAGGGAGGAGAAAAAGACGAGATGCAACAAAACAGGGAGGAAGAGGAGGAGGGACAGGAAAGATGAGAGATGAAGAGGACATTGAGAGATAAGGTAGAGAGACAAAAAAGTGAGAGAAGAAAAAGAGTAGAAGGGAGGATTAGGAGACAAGTGAGGTGAAATGAGAGAAAAAGATGAAGAGAAGATGAAGAGGAGAACAAGGTAGCAGCAAGGGGAAGGAAGAGGATAAGAAAAAGGGAGGAATTAAAGAGAGGAGAGGATCAAGAAAATGAGGAAGATAAGGGGCAAAGACACGGAAATGTAGATAAGCAGATAGAGAGAAACAGATAATAATAAAAGAGAGAGGGAAAAGGAGATGAAAACAAAAAGGTGGAAGGATGAGGAACAACAGGAGAGGAAGTGAGGAGGTGAGGAAGTGAGGAAGGAGAGAAGAATAAGAGTTGAGCGAAGAATAAGAGGTAAAGAGAAGAAGGGAGGAAGAGGAGGCAAGTGGGGTGAAGAGAAAAAAGGAGTGTGATCAAAAAGGAGGAAGGAAAAGGGAAGGAGAGAAGTGGAAGAGGAGTTAGGAGAAAGATGGAAAAACTAAAGAAAAGAATGAGAAATAAAGCCACGTTCCTCTTAGACCCAATTATGTGTGTCTCAAACCTGAGGCTGCCTGATAGAGAGAGAGAGAGAGAGAGAGAGAGATTTTCAGCTTATCAGATGACCTTCTTGGCAAGCCTGGAGGGGCGTCCACGCGCGTGGCCGCATGCCCACACGTGAACAATGCGCGCTAATTGTCAACTTGTCATTTCCATTTGCTGCTGAGCTGTCCAAGGTGCATGACTATTAATAAATATTTACAGCCATGCAGATTAAAGAGATGAATAAAAAGAAATGGCAGCAAGGCTTTCAGTTTAATTCATATTAGAGGGTTTCCATAGGACTATAACAATATCAGAGAAACAAAGCAACATAAAACAACAGAAAGATCGATACGGCTCATATAAGGCACCATAAACTCAGAATAAGCCACATAGGAAACCATTAAATGTCATAAAAATATAACAGAAGTCAAAATGTACAATAAATCGAACTAAAAACTAAAAACACAAAACCATGAAGAATCAGAGCGCCAGAGCTCGATAAATATTGTTAGATAATTCATATGAATGAAGCCGAATTCCTCTCCGGACATTGTTATGCCAGATTAAGCGAACAAAATGAGCAAATGGTTGTTTAAAAAAATAATTAGAGGTACTGAAGTGTAAATTTGATGGTAATGTGAACTGACCTCCTGCTGGCTGGGAGCCCGAACACCCAGAGTAAGTGAGATGAATATGAGCGGATGGAGAGCACTTGTTCCTCTTCTTCTTCTTCTTCTTCTTTTTCTTGTTCTTTTTCTCGTGGTCACTCGCGTCATTTGTCTTAAAAACCCAAAAAGAAAAAAAAGGGGGGGGGGAGTGATGAAATGTCAAAATAAGATTTTGTTCCCAGTCCAAGAAGTTTTTAATGGTCCCACATCCGCTGAGGAGTCGGTGTCCTGTCCGTCTGTGCTCCGGTCTGCCGGAGGACTGAAGCGGCGCTGCTGGAGGAGGGGGGCTGACGTCACGAGGAGGGGGCGGAGCCACAGTACAGATGAAACTATTAGCCTATCAGATTATCGATTAAAGAAAATCTACTTTGATTTGTCATTTTTCATGTAAAAACATTTCATGGTATTTCATAATTAATTAATTAAATAATGTTGAGGTTGGACAAAACAAGGGGTTTGGGGATTTGGGGAGAAAATAATCAGCAGAGTAATCCCTAAACCTAATGAAAACAATCATTAGTTGCAGTCTGATACAAAATAGTTCACAATTTCTCAACCATCTGCTTTTACCTGCATTTAATGCATGAGTAATAACATTAATCTAATGATAATTAGGCTTTAATATAACCTACTAATAATGTCACAGGGGAAATTCTACTGATTTGAGTACTTTAAGGAGGCTACATATCCCTGATTATTTATTATCACAGTCTGGTAATAAAAATTCTGACTACAACAATCAAGTAATCTATGACTCATTACTCGCTTTCTGTTGTGTTTTTGTTGTTTTCTGCGTGGAGAGATGTGTCAGAAATTGTAAAGACAGGTGGATGAAAACAGATGGATGGATGTCACCTCATTAGTTCAACAAACTGTTATGACGTGACCAGACTACATGATATCAGCCTAAAAATGGCCGAGAACAAGGAGAATCGCGGTCTCTCGCCCAGCAGTGAGCTTCAGCCTTCATTGTCTGACATCTTTTAGGCAAAAAATCACAGCATTTTAGCATTTATCAGCAATAAATATGCTATGAAAACTGACAAGCAGACCGTCTTCTTTACCCTAAACGTTGATACAACGGTGCTAAATGGGTACTGAGGATGCTAGAAAGCGACACCAAGGGGTCTTGACCAAGCGTCCATATGTGACGAGCTGGGAGTGAGAATGTGTTGAGCTTTAACGTGTTGATACCCTTGTTGTTTTGTGGAACTCTGACCTGCGTACCTGGCCTTAAGTTATGTCAGTCATGTGATCTAAGAAGAAGAAGAAGAAGAAAATACATTACGTAAGTCATTTACATCCATCCACCCCAGCACCTCCTTACATGGACTTTGTCGCTCTTTATACCACATCACCTGATTTCTTCTGCCACTCGAGGTCACGGCCTAACGTAAAACGTAAATATGGGTCGTAATAAGCTGCTGCATCATCGACTTTAGAGACGTATTTCTGGTGAGGACGCGCTGAGCAGAGGAGGTTAAACAGAAGTAAACTCTCCATCCCCTGGAAAGGTGAAGTTCACCAAACTCGAACTCTACACAGACCATTTGTGCAGATTCTAACTCTCCTCTTGCTTCTTTTCTTCTTCTATTTGTCCATATTCTGTAATAGTTTAAATGTGGAGTGATGCAACTTTAATGGGCAGAAACAGGACACAACAACCACTGCCAGTGCCCATCACTTTTCCATTAGAGGAAACACAAAAAAACTAAAAAGAGCTTTGGTTGGTACATAAAAACAGAAAATAAAGGCGACAAACTGCCTTTGGAGTCAGTTATGATCCACCCATTGTGTGAATTGCTCTGTGTTGAACAGGCTCTATAAATAAAGTTGAGTGGAGCTGAGGGGTAAATGGCTCGTGCAGCAGGACTGTTCTCTGCTAATGAGCCGCGGTTCATTGAGGGTTTGGTGAATAAACGCTGTCTGAAGGCTTAAATCCCTCTGCGACCGCTGTGGCACCATTAATAAAAGTAATAATATGAGCTTATTTGAAAATGAGAACGTTGTTTTGTCGCATCCATGCAAAAAAAGCAGGACAATTTCACACTGAAATATTCCAGAAAGTAAATTTTGCATGAACAAATGATATTTTTCAGCTCTGTGGGCTGTTGAAACTCACAGAGAGAGAAAAAGGCAGTCAGTCGCTGCATAATACATCACAGTTTGAGGCGAGAATTGCTTTAAATGACAATCTCACTATTTAAAAAGAGCACAAAAGGTAGTTTGAGAGTTTTCTATATATAAATTGTTGTCTCCCACAGCTCCAATATGGAGGAAAACAGCTTTCATCAGTCTTTCTCTTTCATCTCACTGACAAAACCCATTTAAACAACTTGTCCTCTCCACTGTATAAAACTGCTGTCAGTGCAGAGCGGGGTTGTTCTGGAGCTGACAGCGACTCCAAAAGACGACAAGAGGAAGACAAAATATCTCGAAAGAATAGAAACGCACCCTCGTGGAGAAGATTAATATTATTAATGACCGTTGAACTAAAAGTGTTTCACTGACGCTGGAAACTATTTCCCATGTTGTTCAAACCTGCAAACTGTCGTTCCTTCCGATTCATTTTCATCCGAGATTGTTTTATTTTCCTTTTCATCTCCCCATTGTGGTAATTAACAGTAATTTAATTAAAAGGAAAATCTACTCTATCAACTTTAGTCGATTATATTATCGGATTTAAGTAAAATCTCTGTCTCTGTTTCTGCTTTGGCATTTAAATCACATATATTTTATTTATAATACTATACGTTGAGTGTAGTGGAGTTTTTGTCCTAATAAGGATTTCAAAGACATGTTGTAAGTCCGTTAAAAGTATTGCAGAAAGGAAAAGTCTTCATCTCAGGCGGGTTTATTTTCAGGTGTTTGGATTTAGACACAGTGACGGCAGCAGGAATGACTGCGTGACAGGCCAGCTGTCACCCTCAAAGTCAAAAAGTCCTGACTCCTGTTACTTTCTTTGCATCATGTGTCAAGTGTTTGACATGGTCGTCCAACAAGTTCCACCTAGAAGAGAGCGGGCCAGCCTATATGTAGCCTGAGAGGCAAAACCCCCAGGCTAAAACAAAGCCACAGAGGTGGGGTCAGCGATTCTAATCCAGTACACGTCTCTTTGTCAAAGTCAGCGAATAACTCTTAGCGGTCGGTTCAGTCCAGGTCTGTCCGTTAAGTGTGCTGAAAAAATGCCACCCCGCCACACAACACTATTCCAGCCGTTCCAGCCATGATTTATGTGCCAGGTGACGTTAAATGACTTTCCCACAGACATTCAGCTACTTTCTAGTTCACCAAGACATGCTGTTGTTGTGATCTTAGCTATAGCATCCTGTCTGGAGCGGTCTGATAGCTTCACAGCAGCAGTTGTAGCGACAGTTTTCTAACCTACAACTTAGCTAACATTACTTGCTGTGTTGTCGTTATCGTGGTATTTATAGAAAAGGATTTCTTACTGAGATTTCACTTACCGAACCTTTAAGCTAATTTATAAGATGGTAACACCTGGAAAAGTGTTTGAGGAGGGGGGAAAAAATGGACTTAGGAGTCAATATGCGTCAAATAAATTACAGTAAAACTTAAGTTAAAAGCTTAAACGGCTGTCCCTTCTACTGGTCTGGTGTGGCTACACATTTTGACAAATAAACGCAGTTTTTTTATATAAATCCATCCAATTTGAAATAACTACAGTCACCTCCGGCTTTCTTCCTTTCTACTGTAGGCCTCCATCTCTCTCTCTTTCTTTAGATGTGCTGTCTTTCAGAGCCAGATCAAATGAATAATTCATAACTGATATGTTATGCAATAGCCTCATTTTCATACATGCAATACTGGTTGATGTAAACAATTTGATAGCAGCCTTTTCCCCACCTTTGCTGCGCAAGAGTTTTCATCGAAGGAATTAAAGGCCTGTCCCAAATATAGGCAGGGTGAGTGCAGTGATTGAAGGAAATAAAAGCTCTGGCTATTACTTCTTACTGCATTACTACATGTCTATAGACAGAAGAACATGATCCAACCTCAGTCTGACCCAATAAGGTCTGCCCTGCAGGTTTGAGCAGGTTGGCCTACTGGGACGGTAATGAGAGAAATCAACAGAGAATGAATCGAATCACAGCTCGCTGCTCTCTTGATATCTGGTCAGAATGAACAACAGACGGATGGTAGAGACGGGAATGTTTCTGGCGTTGAGGTCATCAAGACGGTTGTATGATTACAGAGCTGGGTCATGCGAGGATTAAAATACTATCTGACAGGAACTCGTCAGAGTTGGTTTGCTTGAATCGGACCACAGCAAACAAACTATAGGTTCCCCAAAATGGCATTCAAAGGAGGAGTGAAAATCCTGTCGTCATCGCCTCCTTCAGCCTCTCCAATCCCCTCAAACAACTCTGTGCACACCTGGCTGTGTGATTGTGATTGTCGGTTCACATGTCATGCCATGTATTCCCCGACCCACTTAATCCACCACCAAAAACCTCAAAGACATCAAATACGCAACTAAAGCTGAAAGTGAGGCAGCTTGCGTTGCCTTCCTGCTCCCCCTCGGTCATGCCTGAGGGAGCGTTTAAAGGCAGCATCCAAGGTTTCCAACAAGGCGGCTAATTAGACCAACAGCTGGGGAAAGACAACAGCAGAGGAGTAACTCCTTAAAATGCAACGTCATACTTAATCACGTGAAAATTTTAATATTTGCATTCAAAGGACTCAACTAACACCAAGAGTTAAATTTTAAGCTTTCACTTTTCAGTGTTTTTGCTGTTAATTCATGAGCTCTTATCTTATTCAGCTCATGCTTGTGTGTTGGACTCAGTCAGTTCAATCACATACCAAAAGCTGTAGGTTTTTAGAAAACATCAGGCATCTCTCCACCTTTCTTTTTGTACACGTAGCGCATGATGAATGCTAGAGCAGCTTCAGAAAAGTGAAAGCGCGGTGATTTATCTGACTGCCCTCCACATGCCTTCTCATTCTGCACTGTCAGGGGCCGAGAGGGGATATGATGGATATCTGTAAGACGACTTATGGAGTGAATGGAGATCACTGCAGGGCTCTGATATCCATTCAGCAGGCCGGGGTCACCTTGGACCTGCGCTTTTAAAAAAGGATTTCTCAATCGTTTTCACCATATCAGTCTCAGGAGACCATCAGCTAAATCAAATAGGCTGAAGTTTTAATTTATTTCACGTGACAAAAAGCCAGACTGAATCCGAACCACCGCACAACGCATTGTTCACTTACAT